CAAATATATAGTAAACAACAACTGACGGAAACAGAGAAGTCAACAATTACAGTTGGAGATTTTAACTGATAGATCAAGCAGATAAAAAATAATAGAGATGAAGGTATTTCTGAAAAATGTAATTAATAAGCTTGAGCTGACTGAGAAAAGTAAAAAGGAGAAGGAGATCCTCAGCACAATGTCATTTGTGTAAATTTTTTAAAAGTTCACAAAGAATATCATCACTAATCATCAGGGAAATGCAAATCAAAACTACACTAAGATATCACCTTTCACCTGTTAGAATGGCAAAAATATCCAAAACCAAGAGTGACAAATGTTGGAGAGGCTGTGGAGAAAAGGGAACCCTCATACACTGTTGGTGGGAATGCAAACTGGTGCAGCCACTATGGAAAACAGTATGGAGATTCCTCAAAAAGTTAAGAATAGAAATACCTTATGACCCAGCCATCCCACTACTGGGTATATATCCTAAGAACCTGAAATCAGCAATTTCAGAAGCTCCATGCACCCCTATCTTCATTGCAGCATTATTCACAATAGCCAAGTCATGGAACCAACCTAAGTGCCCAGCAACTGATGATTGGATAAAGATGTTGAGGTATATATATATACAATGGAATACTACTCAGCCATAAAAAAGGACAAAGTTGTCCCATTCACCACAACATGGATAGACCTTGAGAGTATTATGTTGAGTGAAATAAGCCAGACAGAGAAAGACGAACTCTGTGTGACTCCACTCATGGGTGGTAGTTAACACATGGACAAAGAGAACTGATCGGTGGTTGCCAGGGGAAAGGGGGGTCGGGGGAGGGCACTAGGGGTGAAGTGGTGTACCTACAACATGACTAATAATAATGTACAACTGTAATTTCACAAGGATGTTAACTTTTATAACATTAATAAAAAAAAGTTCACAAAGAATAATGATGCGTATTTTACTGGTATACATACAAGTAGAAGGATATGTGTCACTCATGGTAAAATGGTTGCCTAGTGGAAGGAGAGGGAGGGGGATAAGGAATGGGGAAAAATACATTTAAAAAATAAAGAGAGAGGCCTCGCATGAACCAATAATTATGGAAATATCAAATCAGATCTTATAAAACAATGACAACAAAATTCCCATACCTATAACTCTTGATGAATAAATAATAAGCATAGGATATATTGGAGTATATGAGGAAGCCATTTGGTTTAAAACTAATTCAGCCTGACCTTGTTTTTCCAAAAAGGCCTAATGTGGCCTATTGAACATGCATTGTACATCTGCCTTAAACATTTACAACGTCCCAAAGACAAGAATGATACCCTCAAAAATAGGGATGTAGCTTCCCCCATATCAGCACTGCCTTAAGGATAAGCATCCCTTCCTAGAGACTAAGGATTAATCACCAAGCTGCTGTGTTCATCTGGTGACCATTGACTTGCTGACCACCAGCCCGCTGAGTTCCTATCATATGTGATGTACGCTTTTTGTTCCAACACTGTATATAACCACTCTGTACAACCCACTTCTTTGGAGTGCTTCCCTCCTTCATGAAGGTACTCTCCCAGGTTTTATGGTCCTTAGGGTTGGCTCATAATAAACTCAACCCAATTTTGATTTATAGATTGATTATGGATTATTTACATTGACACCCTTCTTACCCCTCACAAAGGAAATACTCCTATTTATAAAGGTTAAGTCTCAAACAGTGTTGAAAATGAATTGAGCCCTCTGTTTCAGGACGGTGAACTGATGAGGGAAGCCATCAACTGACGAGAATTTGCACACATTTCTGGAGACAGAAAGCAGAAAATGAAGTGGTAACTGCTGAAACATGGTACAGGAAACTGCTTCTTGGAATGCGTAAGAGTGACCTGCAACCGAGAAGGGGGCGGACTTTCCTGTAGAAACTCAGAGAGGTTCAAAGACTTAAAAGTGGCAGCTGCAACAGAGGGCAAAAGTGAAGTGTGGCAAAAAACAGGAGTCTGCATATGGAGCAGTCACTTTTCCTGGCCCTGGTCAGGGGATATGAGGCCGCCCTGAGTGTACCCCCAAGATTAAACTAAATAGGAAGGTACTTCTCCAAGGAAATGGACTAATCTGCTTGGAGACAACTAGATAACAGTGCAGGACCTCTGCATTTTGGTGTTTTGGAGTCCCCCAAGCAAATTGGCTGATCCCTAACTGCTCAGCTAAAAACAAAGCCTGCCATTCAACAAGCCCATCCACACAGCCAACCTCCCAATGAATGAGCTTTTCTGTTGCCTCGTTTTTAAATATGATTGAGCAACCAAAGATCACTAGACATTGGAGAAAAGGCTGCAACAAGAAAAAGAAGGACAAAATTAAACAGAGAAATTGATCCAACAAGAGACAAGTAATTCAGAAAACAGCGGATAACTTTAAAAAAAATACCCTTTTGTCTATCCAGAAATAATTGAAAAATAAGAATTACACCTTTAAAACAAGAAAAGGATGCTGTAAAATTGGTAGCACTAGAGAACAAGAAAGAAATCTTGGAAATTTAAACTGGTTGCTAAATTTTAAAAATTCAATAGAAGGCTTAGAAGATAAAGTTGAAGAAATCTCTCAGAAAGTAGAAAAAATAAACAGAGAGGTGGAAAATATGAGAGTAATGAGGTCTAGATAGCATAAATTAGAATTACAGAAAAAGAGAATAGAAACAAAGGGGTGGAAATGAAATCATGGGGAAAAAATTGATTTTTAATGAATTCTTGTACCTGTAGACAATCTAAAGTTGCAACTGACTAATGAATGTAATTCTAACATGAATGTTGGTTAATATTTTTCTCTACATTAATGAGTTAGACGAAACTGAAATAATGGAGTATGTTTGAACTTCACTCGGTTGTCAATGATGTGAGCACCTTTGCTGAATTAGATAATAGTTTTCAAATATTGGAAGAATGTTTCCTCATTTTTCTGTGCTATTTACCATGTAATGGCTACAGATATGACGTGCTTTTAAATTTAATCTGCATTTTTAACATTTTCTCCACTACTTTCCCAAATCTAGAAATCAACAAAACTCGAGCCCAGACTTATAGCATTTGTCGATTTCTGTGGTGCAAATGAAATCAGCTACCATGGCCCATTTCAAACTACCAACATGACATCACTGAATGCAGAGCTGGGAAGAGATGTCCAGTAACATATATCTACACATGTTATATATTTCCACCATACAGATACAATGCACATAAATGACCTTAAGAGCATGGATAATAGTAAGGCATAGTAAAATAATTAGGAAGTTTTGAGTACTCTTTTCAGTATAATTTATTTAATCATAAATTTATATAATTTAATTTTTAATGATGGCTGTGTTTAACAACCGACTCACAAATTCCTAAAAATGAAAACAATTGGGTGTCAGAGCTCGTTTGCACGGACTCCAGCCACACCACTAGAACTCACCCATGCCACCAGTGCCGGGTGCAGCAGACTCTCACCGACACCCCAGAAGGCCCTCCTGCCCTTGCCAGGCACTGCCACCCTGAAAGATACCCGCTATTCTGACTTCACGGGGTGCACTTTTGGGGTGAAGAATGTTATTTGGGAAAGTTCGAAACGTGACTTGAATGTTTGTAATGTTTCTAAATGCCATAGCAACGAACAAAAACAACTGTAGCAATCAACGAATATTTAAAATTGTATTTTAGCTATGTTTTTATTTGCTTTTAATTATATTTCACAGAATACCTTGTTTCTTTTTCTATTTTGCAACTTTTTTAAAAGTTTGTTTCATTCATCTTCATTTTCCGACATGAACTCCTGGTCTGTATTCGAGATCTCTGCTTTTCATTTTGGTTAGACTATCGGTTAGACTCATAGCACAACGTTTGTGCAAGAAATGGATGCCCAGGCCCGAAGAGCCATTGAGACTTGATGAAGCGGGGAATACCTTGGCGTGGAGCTCTTCCTCAGAAGCTGGGAACATAAGGGCTACTGGACGTTGTTGTGTTCCCAGTCCTCACCCACATGGATGATATTTTACAAAGAGATGTCATTAGCAGACAACAGTGGCCATTTAAGCTGGTCATATTGTCATTTCTCCTCAGTTTTTCTAGGAGTGATAATGCACTATCAATTTCATTGACTTTGAACTCTTGATTTGCAAGTGAAATGGTTCGGGCTGTCTCAAGCTCATCTTTGAAAGTTCTTAACTCTGCAAGAAGGGCTTCAGTTGCTTGTGAAACCGTTCTCTGGACCCTGTGATAGCCGCCTATTTGCAGACCTGTGGCAAATAAGAACACTTGATATTTTGCTGCTAAGCTTTGCTTCCTTTCTTTCTAGCTCCTTTTGTAATCCTGTCATTTCCTCTCTGAAATCATTGCCAAATGCACTTGAAAGCATACTTTAAAATATTACTGATTAATGACCTCAAAGGAGAACACCACAGCCTCCCTTTCTCAACTACGGAATAATAAAGTACTTAGGTTTCTATAAAAAATATCATATACTAAAAATCAGGCTTATACTTAAGTGGGTATTATTTGTTTCCTCAAAGAACTGCATAAGTATAATGTCAAGGTAGAACAAGGATAGGGTAGTGGTGGAGAAGGGAGTGGTGTGGTGGGCATGGGCCTACCTAACCTTCCAGAGGAAACAATAGTTTATCTCAAAGCAGCTAAGTAAATTATAAGATGTAAGTCATTGCTCTATTTATCTTGTGAAAACGTAAAAATATCCAATTTTTCATATAGACAAAAAATAAAGAAAAACTAGGGACACATTGTGGACTGAATGTTTGTGCCCACCCAAAATTCGTGTGTGGCATCTCTACCTCTCACTGTGATGATATTAGGAGGTGGGGCCTTTGGGAGGTAATTAAGATTACTTGGGAGGTAATTAAAATGGGGTCCTGAGAGCGGAGACCTCATGAATGGGGTTAATGCCCCTTTAAGAGTCAGAGAGAGTGTGTTTCCCCTCTTAGCTCTCCGCCCTGTGAGGACACAAGGAGAAGTCAGCTGTTTAAGAACCAGGAAGTGTGTTTTCACCAGACACTCAATCTAACGGCACCTTGATCTTGAACTTCCAGCCTTCAGAACTGTGAGAAATACATTTCTGTTGTTTATAAGCCACTCAGTCTACGGTATTTTTGTTACCGCAGCTTGAATGGACTAAGACAGGACACTATTGAGCATCTCTCCTGAGATGATGGTGAGTCCTGGCCTTGTTCTGTGGTTGAAATGTTTTGCCTGTGTCCCCATGTGGACTTGTTTATTCCTGTCAACAACTGAACGCTTTTGCAAGTCTTGGTCCAAACATTTTGTTGTTCTTCTTCTTCTTTAGCAGTGTGATATTTCAATCGTGGTAGTTGTGTGTGCCTGTGGGAGTTTTGTTTGTTTTGGAACTATGGTTATTTTAGAACACTGTCAAAATAAGTCTGTCATTATCTTTGACAAAATGGGCTAATATTCCATTGTAAATTGAAGAATGATGCCGATGATGGTGACATGTAATGGAGGGCCTTCTCATCAGCAACAAAATTAATCAGAGTTCATCTATGAGCCAGAGAATGATTCAGCTTCCACTTGCGATCCTGCATATAGATTGAAGTTCATGAAATGATATGATAGGCGGATCAACACAAAGTTAGCTGAAGATTATGAAGCATGTCAGGTAAATTGCAAAGCTTTAAGAAAATTGTTTCAATGGTTGGAATGTGGTATTACAAAGAAAGCAATATTCTGTTACTTATACTTACTGGTCTCTCCCACTTAAAAAAATCAATCATGAAGAATTTCTGATGAAAATTAGTCTTGAAAATTTTTAGGAAGCATTGACAATTTTCAGAAAGCATGAAAGAGTTGAAATACACTTGAAAATACTGCGACTCAAGAGAGAATATTGATTTTTGTGGTAAAATCATTGATAAAAGATTATCTTCACTCATTCAAGACAAGTTGAAAAGAGTATAATATACCTGAAAATCGTAGGTGAAAATATTTTATTTTTCTTGGAAAATATCATTTATTCTTAGGAGTTTAATTCATCTGTATATAAAAGCAATTTTTTAGCATTCATGAGTTGATTTCTATAAATGTACAAATGTACAGTCACTGGAATGATAAAGAGAGGATAATTGCAGGATGCGATAAAAAGATCATTTTCCTTGCTTACTCAATACTATTTTACAAGAAGACTGATAGTGCAAATCAAAAACAACTATTGATTAATGCAAGATGACCACAGAAAACAAAGTCTATACTTAACCAGAGTTTCATTGATAATAAAGAGATGGCCAAGATGTGCTCTTCTTGGTTATAAAATTTTTGCAATAAACCAGAGTCAATAAGAATTAAATGCAAGATTTTGCCTATGATACTGCTGCCAACATGAATGGAAAGTTAACAGACAGTTGCAGTGAAGCGTAAGTAAGAAAAGCCAAGACTGTTCCTTCTCGTGCCATGTCATGCTCGTCCTCTAGATTAGTCATACGAGGTATGGAGGGAAATCAAAAAACATCAAAGTTCTCTCAATACTGTCAATTCTTTGTTTTCTACCACTCATGTATCTGTGAAAATATTGGCAATATAAAAACATTTATAAACGCAGTTGAAAGTGTAAAGCACTGGAAGCGATGTGATTCTTTTGAAACCTATAGATCTGGACATCATAGCTCATTATCAGCAGTGAAGAACTTCCAGAGACTTTTGGAAGAATCCAAAAGCATTTGCAATTGGCTCTTTAGTTACACCAGTAACTAGTGAATGGAACAGTTTGCTAGTATAAATTTCCAAACGTGACTTCCTGTTTGCTTAAACTGTCTTTATCACATGCTAAGTAAGTATGTGCTTGGGTAATATACAATTGTCACTGTAGTCATTTTAGAATTTCTAAAATTAGCTTACCATTGACAAGAATTAAATAAAATATACTCTATCATTTTGAATACAAATATCTGCCTTTGCTTTTGTTAGGTCTAGCTTAAATTGGAAACGTCGAAGGAAAGAAAGTACAGTATGATCAAATGCTTGTGCTTTTTGGTCTACTTTCACTGCTGAATGCAATCAGACACTAAGTCCTGGTGCTTTGAGGAGGCGGGGTTCTGCCAATGTAAACCGGGGGGCAACAAAGCTCAAGGAGCACCTGACATTTCTACATCCCCAAATAGATCTCAGACAGTGTGGATGAATGAGAAGAATGCTGTTTCAGAAATACTAAAATCTCATCAAACGGATTCATCTCAAATGAAGAGACTTATTTTGAAGCGTCTTGAAAGACTGTTCATCCTATTGCCAAGCCAAGGAATCCCCATATGATTGGAGAGACCTTGGCAAAAGCACATGCCCTGAAATTCAACTATTTGGGGCCTTGAAGCTGAGATGGAATATTTCAGTTGATGTCACCCACTCCAAAATGTATAATGTCCCTTTCTGATATTTTGAAGCAAACCTTCGAATAATTGAAAGTGATAACATTTCTCTTTGGCATGGAAAAGAATGAAACTATAAACATTTCTCTGTGACTTTCTGGGTTTTGTCTTTTATTTGCATACTGACCAATGACATCAGAGAAAAAACCCTGTTTTCTGAGCCCATTTTTGAAAATATAGATACCACTAACTTCTTTAAAACTGTGGAAAGTCTTTGCCCAGCAAGCTTTGACGGAACGAGAACTCATCTCGGGTTCTAGGAGGCACCTCTGGAACCTCAGTAACCCATCTGCTCACACTGCCTTGTGGAAGGAAGCAGCTCTGTGTGTCAGCCGCGGGCATCGTGCCAGAGACCCTGCGAACAGCCTTGTCTAAGTGTGAATATCTTTATCTTCCTCCAAACTAGGGCCTTGAATCACCATCTTTTCAAGAGGCTTTGTCAGATAACAGGAGCAGAATATTATCAACCGCACGGAATAAGACAGGTCATGAAGTGCTTATTGAACTTGAAGCAGAACTTTGCGTGGGTCCTTAAGAGACAAAGAAAAGGAAAGCCAATTCTCCAAGCAATTCTACTGGGAGGAGCTCGCTCACAGTTTGGTTTATTAGGCACATAGTTCTGGTCATTCTGAATGAGGTAAATCTTTCAGTTCAAGGTCCTGGAGTCATCAACCTCAATCTTCTGAAAAACAAAACAAAAAAGTACAAGCTCTTTTGGCCAAGCATACACACTTGGAAGAATAACTTAGAGAGACAAAACCTCAAACTTTCCATCACTGAAGGAAATGCTTCTACAGGCTGGAATTGAGAGTGACAAAGAAGAAGCTTTCTTGATTTCTTTGCAGTCAGAAAACTGTAGCAACCTGAAAGCCCTCAGAACACTTTTGAGCATTACTTCTGCTCAAATAATCTTCAAGTGGAAAGTGAATCTGTAATCCTTTCCTTGTTGACACAGATGGCAGTGATGAAGCAGACCTTGCCAAATATGACTTCATGGACTTGAGGACAAAGGAAATGAAGTAACAAGAATTCAACTTGAAGAGTTGTAGAGAATCCTACAGCTAGAAGACTTGTAGGTGTCCTTGATCCAAACCCATTCTTAGCTGGCCACTGATTCTATTTGTTACCACAGACTTTACTGGGTCAGGGTTTTGACAAGAGATTTTCACATTTTGAGGTATATGGGGTAACTATTCAGGTTCAAAACTGATTTGGCTTGAGCTAAAGAAGCCTTACTTATGGCCTGTCAAACATACATTAGCCATCTACTTTAACCATTGAAGTAAAGAACGTGCTCTCTTAAGATAAGAATGCATACTTCCCCTTCTACCCCTTTTGGTAACCCCCATATTAGTCCCCTTCCCAACATCAGGATCATGTTGACCTGCTAATTTGCCACTGAATACCTCTTTGAAATTTTGATGAATATGTATCCTGGGCATGTGTTTTTTTTGCTGGGAAAGATTTGCCCTCAGCTAACATCTGTTGCCAATCTTCCTCATTTTTTCTTTTCCCTCCCCAAAGCCCCAGTACATAGTTGTATATTCTACTTGTAGGTCCTATTCGTTCTTCTATGTGAGCCCTCACCACAGCATGGCTCCTGACAGACAAGCGGTGTGGTTCCATGCCTGGGAACTGAATGCAGGCCACCAAAGTGGATTGTGCCAAACTTTAACCACTAGGCCTTCAGGGCTGGCTCCTGGGCATGTTTAACGTATGTTCTTTGTTCTAAAGAGATATAAGACTGTACCAAAAACCAGGCTTCTCTGGAATACTTCTTTCCTTTCTGGAAAAAGCCTTCCCAAGTTATAATCCCCACTCTGGCTCAAGTAAAAATCACGTATATCTCTTACCTATGGAATGGTTGTTCATTATTTTGCTTTGACATTTCCAACCCTTATTTCTATCAAAGGAAAAGTTAAAATCAATTGTATGATGATGTTTGTCTTATCTTTTCAAAAACCACATAACTTCATATTAAACCAAAGGAGCCTCCCTGGAGGCAGTTACAGGAAAGTAGCTGTGGTAGGCAGAATTCAAAGATGGTCCCCAAGTATCCCAACCCTGGGATACACAGCTTGTATAATCTCCTCCCCTTGTGCAGGCAGAACCTATGAATATGATAGGTTATCACTCTTGTGATTAGGTTTCTAATCAGTTGTCTTTGAGTTAATCCAAAGGGACATGGTCCAGCTGACCAGGATCTAATGAGGTGAGTCCTTAAAACGGGCTGAGTCCCTTAGGAAGTCAGAGACATATGCTACTATTGGCCTGGAAGCAAGCAAACCTCCATGCCAGGAACCGCCAATGGAGGCCACATGGCAAGGAACTTAGGGCAGTATCCAGGACTGAGAGTAGTCCCCAGCCAACAGCTAGCAAGAAAATGGGGATCTCAGACCTGTAATCAAAATTCTGCCAACAATCTGCATGGGCCTTGAAGGGTACCCCAAGCCTTAGGTGACAACTGAGCGCCCTCAGCTTCACTGTGCTCAGACTTGTGACCACAGAAACCTTGAAATAATAAATGAGTGCTGGTTTCTTTTTTTTTTCCCCCCAAAAAAAACCAATGAACAAAATGGACAAACAAAATAAAGCAAAGGAGCAGCATCTTTTTTATTAAAATTACTTTAGAAAAGAATTAACATATTTTTTGTTCTATGTGAACAACTTTTACTTCTTGTAATTTTCTTCAAGGAGTGGTCATTAGTTTTTGCTTGAAAAACCAAATTTGCAAAGTATAACTTTTTTTGTAATTCTCCAAGAGAAGGAAAAACATTTCCAA